TTTTTTTTTTTTTACATTTTAAGTTTCAGGTTTTTTTTTAATATGCCAAGATAGCTTTCATTTGTTTCATCAGTTTTTTAGGTTTAGCTATTTTGGTATGTCAAGTTAATCTAAATGAAAATGAGAAATGGTGCTTTGGCAAGTAGCTGAAAAAAGTTATCCTTTTTTAGTATTTAATTTTATTTCGGTATGTCTATTTTATTTAATTTAACAAAACCACTAGGTAAGTGTTTTGGTGATCACTGACAATCCCGTGCTTTTTATTGAGACATGGGAAATTATTCTTTTTTAAAAATCCTTATCCAGCATGTATGACTTAAAAGCTCATGAAAATGAACCAGTCATAAGGTGTAGGAACCTTGGAAATAGCTGTCTGTTCTCTAGCAAGCAAAGTAAACAAGGAAGGAAATCGTGCAAGAGTGAGCTGCAGAAGACAGCCGTTTTTTTTTCATGGAGATATACTCTTTCATCCTATCTGCTGCTCTCTGTGTCTTTCCCCAAGTGGAAATCCAGCTCAGGGAACGCTGTAGAAAATCCCACTCCTCTGATTAGCACAGAAGCTCTTGGCTAAACTTTTCCAGTTGACTTGTTTAAGACGGCTCACAGATTACCAAGGCCTTACCCTAAAGCTCGCCAACGTATAGTGTTGATTCCAAGTGGAAATTTATTTAGAAGTTCACTCTAAACCTCTGTTTTGTATGTCACATGAAAATTGAGGATTTTGAAGTCAGTCTTTTTATGTTTGACATAAATTTGGTTAATGTACTGCTTGTTACTTTTGTGAATTTGTTTGCTTTGATTACTTTTCTGGATTCCAGCTGTGAAGAGATGATTAGTGCTTGAAGTATTTCTGCAACTTGGTAGCTTTTGTGTTTTGAGACATTCATATTCAGATGCTCACAAGCTTTGAAGGTTTATGCATGATTCAGAACTTGGACACAGTCAGGCATTACATTTATTTGCCGTTAGTTTGTTAACAGCTGATTCTGAGCATAAGTCCAAATTCATACTGCAAATTACATTGTCCACACCTCTAATACATGATTTATTGTTTGATACCCAAGTTGCTCATTTCACGGCAGAATATTTGCTCTTAAATCCCTTTTTATTTTCCCATTGGCAGCTTTCTTTGGTGTTCCTGAAAAGACTTGATTTGCTCTTCACAATGGTCTTGTTGCATCTTTCGCTCACCAGTCTTGGCTAACTGCATGCTTTTTTGTTTCTTCTACACCACCATGGCTCCTTATTCCTCCTTAAATTATTCCTTCCCTTTTTGTGTGTTTTACCCACAATGCTTTGACTTGTGCCTGTATATCTCGATGTGTTCTGCTCTGGTTCTCACCTTCCCCCAAAGCCTGTCCGAAAGTTCTGTGTCCCGCCTCAGTGCACTGAGCTGCTCTTGTCCCCCAGTTCTAGTATCACTGACTCCCTAAAACCAAACTTGGATCAAAACGAGTCAAAAAAACCCACTTCTAACTCTTTAACGCCAAACTCTATATCTGAGTCTCTCTTGCCCTGCCCAAAGACCCAAACTCTTCCAGCCAAACCCAAAGACAAACCCTTACAATCCGCCCGATCAAACCCCTTACCTGAATCTGAGCCTGAACACATTTCGACAGCCAAGTCAGAACCTTCGACTCCATGTCAACCTCAAGCACCCTGTATACCGGGAAGCCCACTGGTGCGGCGGGCAACCCCAGCCTCCATCATACCCCCTCAACTCTTGGTCTCCTTTAGGCCTGTTGCCCCTCTTTCCCCTATCCGACTACACCACTTCCACCCTGTTCCCGGCTCTGACCACACCACCAAATCTATCCCCACCATACAGGTGACCCCCCACCCCTCTCCAAGGGGCAGCCCTATCCCCACCCCCAAAGGAACACCCGTGCACACGCCTAAGGACAGCCCCACGGGGACGCCGACCCCTACGCCACCCCCTAGCCCCTCCATCGGGGGAATGCCCTGGAAGACGCGCCTCAACTCCATCAAGAACAGCTTCCTGGGCTCACCACGCTTTCACCGCAGGAAACTGCAAGGTATTGGTGGATAGAGTAAACAAGCTACAATTCATCTATCCATGCATTCTCCAAACCACTTGTCCTAAGTAGGGTCGCGGAGATGTTGGTGCCTATCCCAGCATCTCGGGCCGAAGAAAGGTAAAACTCTGGATGGATGTCCAGGCTACAATTCACGACACCATGAAATCAAAATTATAGTTATGTGGTGTTTAATCCATTTCTGTTAGCTTTGAGGCAAATCTAGATATTATTGTACTCATAAAAGTTGACAAGAATAATACATTCTCTTTTGAGATAACCAACGATGAGCCAACAATGTTGATGATGTCGTCTTGTCTTATAGCAGGGGTTTCTCAACTCTGGCCCTTGAGGTCCACTTTAATGCAGAGTTTAGCTCCAACCCTAATCAAACTCACCTGAACAAACTCATTAAGGTCTTCAGAATCACTAGAAAGCTACAGGCAGTTGTGTTTGATTAGGGATGGAGCTAAACTCTACAGTGGACCTCAAGGGCCAAAGTTCAGAACCCCTGTCTTATAGATTCTTGTCCAATAAAAGGCTCTTTACCAGGGGCGTCCAAACCTGTTCCTGGAGGGCCAACGTCCTGCAGAGTTTAGTTCCAAACAGCTCCAACACACTTGGCTGGAAGTTTCTAGTGAGTCTGAAGACCTTGATTAGCTTGTGTTGGAGCTAAACTCTGCAGGACAATGGCCCTCCAGGAACAGGTTTGGATGCCCCTGGTCTAGAATGAGAATGCCGTGTCCCCTTAAAGCCCATGATACACTCATGGTAAATTTCTTATTTGTTCTTTGCTTAGGGGTAAAAAGAAGTTCAAAATATATTTGCAGCGATATAGTGTTAATGAACATCCAGACGCCGCCCACACTGCTGTGAGCGGGTTTAGATGAGTATGTAAGAGCACATCTACCTATTATGTAATTGCCAGTGACCAATGGTAGCACGAAAGTGTTTACTAGCCAAAGTAAACACACCAGTGCATTCTTCGATTTCACTTGAAGTATATTGTAGTCTTAAAAGGGTTAGTTCACCCAAAAATGAAAATTCTGTAATTAATTACTCTCCCTCATGTCGTTCCAAACCCATAAGACCTTTGTTCCTCTTCAGAACACAAATTAAGGTATTTTTGATGAAATCCGACAGTATTGGAACTACCACGTTCAAGGTCCAGAAAGGTAGCAAGGACATCGTTAAAATTGTCTGTGACAGTGGTTCAACTATAATTTTATGAAGCTACGAGAATACTATATGCGCAAAGAAAACAAAAATAACAACTTTATTCAACAATTTCTTCTTTTTTGGGTCAGTCTCTGCTGCCATTCACAAGAGAACCACGACGCATGTGTATGCATTCCTCTGCTTGTAAACAAGCCACAGCGCATCCGGGTTCAACATCAGAATGCCAGCTTCTGTGTCAGTGGCACCATACGCATGCGTCGTGATACTCTTGTGAACGCACATTGAAGACTGACACGGAAGAGATGAAATTGTTGAATAAATTAGTTATTTTTGTTTTCTTTGTGCACAAAAAGTATTGTCGTAGCTTCATAAAATTACAGTTGAACCGCTGATGTTGCATGGACTATTTTATCGATGTCCTTACTACCTTTTTGGGTCTTGAATGTGGTAGTTCTGATACTTTCTATGGAGAGTCAGAAAACTCTTGGATTTCATCAAAAACTTTTTTTTCCCTGAAACTGTTTCATGGGGTGTTTAAATAAACTTGGTTTGCTTTTGGCTCAGTAATAAGTCACAAACACCTGGAATTGTTTGGGTGGCCAACAAAGGGAGAATAAGATGATTTTGACTAGATCTTCCAAATCCCTCTTAATGCAGTCACTCTACATTGAGTCATTATAGGCCTGAAATAAAGCTCTTACCTCCTCCAGTTTGACTGGATCTGTTTCATGGCTTGTTGTGGCTAAATGCTCTGATTTACATACTGACTGTAAACTAATATTAAGCCTGCTACCATGGTTACCACTTCACATTGTTTCGGTAGCATCAGTTTCCATTTCTAAATAACTTCTCCTGCATGCGACCCCTTAATGATCCAGTTTTATTGCTGGCAAAACCTTTAATCCCAAGCTAAACGGGCAACATGAGACAAATACTCACAAACGATGCACATTTGCATGCAACTATAGGCTCTAACTATATCTGTCCTACATACTGAGATGTTGAATTAGTTAGAAAACTATTTTAAAATGATACGCAACTTTGATTAATGACAAAAATGGAACATGCTAACATCCTTGCTTTACTCTGAACAGTTCCCACTCAAGAGGAAATGTCCAGCCTCACACCAGAGTCTTCCCCAGAGTGAGTACACAGCTTTTTATAGCATGTTACGGATTTCCCATTCACTGCTGTTGTCTTTTTTTATTAGGCTTATTATACTTATTTTCAGGAGCCATGAACCCTTTTCATGAGAGAGATAGAAAGCATAATTTTATTTTTTATTATTTTTCTATGCATTTATTCTAATATTTTATTTATTTTAGAGAGAGAGTGCATTCTTGGAATTCTTGGATCACTTACTGCTGGGAATTGTATTAATTTTATTTTCTTTTTCTTTTGCTACTCATGATAAGACCTGGTCTAGTGTACTTTTAATTAATATTGTCATATAAATGATATGTACATTTTATTTACTCCCTTTATTTACCTGTTGTTATCATTGGTGCCATTGGGAGGTCCCTACAGTGTAGGTTGATTTCAGGTTTTATTATTATTATCGGGACATTTGGTTTCCATAAAAATGCCATAATGCGTTTCCAGCTTACCATTAAGTCAGTTCTATGCTGGAAATGCAGCCGCCGAGAAACATCCTCTGAAAAAGATGAATAGTAGACCTTGAACAATACTTACCCGACCACAGTGTTGATGTAAACCCCCCTCAGCACTTCAGAAATCATTGTGAGTTATGTTTGCCTCTGTTAAACCATTTAGTCTTATTTTCCAGTCTAATGGAAGCTCAGTCATATCTTTCTCCCACTGAGGCGGGTCTCAGCGCACAGCAGACAGCAGTCACAAACTCCCCCACACGGAGTGATGCCTCATCCTCTTTTGTTTTCTATTTTGTCTTCCATAACTTATCCCCCTCTCTTGCTTTCCACGCCAGCTGGATAAGCCGTGGTGCTCTATGCTTTCTTTTGTCATCCTCTGCCATAAATCAGTTTCTGGAAGCTAAGTTGCGAGCGACTGTGCTTTGTTGATACACAACAGTGGTGGACTGAAGCTTTTTAGAGCTAGAACAATCTGCTTTTTAGACAGACGGTTATTTCTTTATATACTAAAACGAGACCAAATTACAGCTGCTAGTTTAAACACCAGGGGTTTTGCTTGATTTTTCCATCAACAGAGATGCTTTAATTTTGAGTGACCTACTGCAGCAAAAATGCAACAGTTGTTTAATAATATATTTTCCTAAATATGACTTATACTCTGAAATGTATCGTAGCAACATACAGAAATATATTTACAGTTTATCTACAAATATAACAATTTTCTAGCAATGCAAAGTCAACATGTTCACTGATATATTAAATGGTAAAGAGTATTACACTTAAAAATATCAAGAAACATTTCTTAATATCATTAATGGTCAAAACAATATTAAAAAAAAAAAAATTGTGGACATTTTGTGTCTATGGTCAGCATGGCTGTGATTCGGCCGTAGGACTCTGGACTCTTTGACAAATGGGATCCAAAATAACATCATTTATTTAAAAAAAAAGTAAAATTATTAATGTCTTTACTGTCACTTGATCAATATAATGCATCCTTGCTGAGTAAAAGTATTAAATTCTGAAGCATTAAAAATTATATAAAAAAACTGATATAAACAGTTATAAATCTAGAATATACATTTAATTTAAAATACTGTATATTCAAATGTAAAAGGTACATTTACAACCATATATTCCAGATTATTTATTCAGATTTATAAATGTAAATTATTATTACAGATTCCCAATTAAGTATATTTTTGTTTACAGTTCTTAAAATATTGAATATAAAATATTATATATAAAAAATGTTTAAACGGCAACATTCCATAAATATTCAAACATGTGGATACATCTTTTATGAATTTTACAGAAATGCTACAGTGGGTGTTAATGATTAACAATTCAGAGCCCATTCATTAAATTATAGATACATCTTCCAAACAATTTTTATCATAGCCAATTTAACTGAAAAGTTGTACCCAAGACTTTGTAGAGGTCAGTGCAACTGCGTTGTGCGCCTCTAAATATGTGATCCAACTTGGCAAGTCTTAAATCTAATCTAAAATTTCTATCACAATACATTATGCAGTCATATTTTTGAATATTGTAACCAGTGACTTCCTTACACACATTTTTTTAGCTATGAGACAAGAGCACCTTATGGATTTTTATACGACTTCTTTGATTTTTGTCTCATCCATCAATATGACCTCATGCAAAGTTCATCATGTTAATTTGTAGACCCTCTGCTGTGTGCCGTTCTTTCACATACTCCCTTTTATGAATTATTCAATATCAATTCATTTTGCATAAGCGCCATAGGATCTATCTTATTCTGAGCTCTGATAAGGACTGATCTTGTATCCCCTGAAGACTTCATAAAAGCTTCATGTTTCATATTTCTCTCACTCTGCAGACTTGCCAAAAAATCTTGGTTTGGTAACTTCATCAATCTAGAGAAAGAGGAGCAGATCTTCGTGGTTATTAGGGACAAGCCACTGAGCTCTATAAAAGCCGACATCGTCCACGCCTTTCTCTCGGTAAGCAGTCTCTTTTGTATGCCTCCAATCCCGTTTCATTCCTCTGTTGTAAACGACAGCTATGAATATTTGAATATATGGTTCTGCGTTCTCTCTATCAGATTGAAAGACTTTGCCCGTCGCACTGGCTTTAATAGGCTTGGCCGGAAGCCTGTGTTTTTACATTTGCAAATACCTTTCTGATTTGTGTTTCAATTCTGTAAAATGCTAGTCTGTGATGTTTCCATCCTCCCCGTGGCTGCCTCTTTCATTAGAGGTCAATGGAAAATCAACGCAGGGCATGAATCATTAGCATATAGATGTTGTGCCTCGAGAGGTTTGTGCAGAAGAGAAGGGAGTTTAGTCTGTCGTTTAGACCTGTTTTAAATGTGCGCTTAAAAAGTTGCTTGTCATGGTTAGCAACGTTTTCTTCGCCTTCAGCTATGCAATAGTAAAGGTGCGGTCATATTAGCGCAGTTTCTGCAGAATAAAAGTTGAGTGTCAATAGTGCTAGGTAGATTACTTACTAATTGTGGTCTGGTACTTATTCCAAATTACATGACAAAAATTGTAGTTAGGGATGTAATCAGTTACATTACACGCTTTATATAATTGGATACTTTTTGATTACTTTTGACCTAACTCGTTTATCGCATTGATTTACATAGCATAATGTTGTACAATATAGATATAAGAAATACAAAGAGAAAGAAAATAATATATAAAATATTTTGTTTACTTGCATGTCATGTGACATTAACCTCCATCAGAGGACTGTGAACATGCAAATGTGTTACATAATTATTAACTTGCTACCTTAAAATCTTAGGGGTAAATACATTAGGTGAATTGTGAATAATTTATTGCTATTGTGTGAATAATATGTAATCATGTAATCAATAAAAAAGTAACTGTAGTCCAATAGCAAGTATTTTAAAATGTAATTTAATAAAGAGTTAGTTCGCTTCCAGAATAAAAATGTCCTGATAATTTACTCACCCCCATGTCATCCAAGATGTTCATGTCTTTCTTTCTTCAGTCAAAAATAAATTAAGGTTTTTGAGGAAAACATTCCAGGATTTGTCTCCATATAGTTGACTTCAATGGGGATCAACGTGTTGAAGGTCCAAATTGCAGTTTCAAAGGGTGGAATAAGGGTCTTGTCTAGCGAAATGATTGGTAATTTTCAAAAAAAAATAAATGAAATGTATATACTTTTTAACCACAAATGCTCGTCTTGCACTAGCTTGACCTCACGCATATTACAAAGTCACATTGGAAAGGTCACGTGTGACGTAGGTGGAAGTACCGACCCAGTGTTTAACACAGAGAATGTGCAAAGAAAGCAGAAACGCTCTTTACAAATAAAAGGTAAAACAGCGACATCAGACTATTTTGAAGTTGGAGAAAATGAGTTTTTTGCCCCACCCTACCTTTTTGAACCGGAGTACACAGACGAAGAACTAACTGCGCGTGACCTTTCCAATGTGATTACGTATTGTGTGAAGTCATGGACGCGAATCGCAGAGCTAGTGCAAAATGAGCATTTGTGGTTAAAAAGTATGTAAAATTTTATTTTTTAAGAACCCTTATTGCTCGGCTGGGATCGTGTAGAGCCCTTTGAAGCTGCATTGAAACTGCAATTTGGACCTTCAACCCTTTGATCCCCATTGAATTCCACTATATGGAGAAAATCCTGGAATGTTTTCCTCAAAAGCCTTAATTTCTTTTCGAATGAAGAAAGAAAGACATGAGGATCTTGGATGACATGGGGGTGAGTCAATTTTCAGGAAATTTTTATTCTGGTAGTGAACTAATCCTTTAATTGTTGGAGTCTGATTACATAATCCAGATTGCATGTAATCAGTTACTACCCAGCACCGGTAGCATTGTGAGTAGCATAACTCAAGCAGCTTTCTTTGGGTCAACACGGTGAATTCCCATGACCAACTTGAACTCGATATGAAATCTGCATGTGGAAATCTTTCACCCTTACGCGAAATTCCCAAACTTTCCTATTGCAATGACTGGATTTTGCTCGTGACCATTTCCCAAGCAACGGTAAATGGAGAAATTTCAGTGAAATTTTGCAGGCAAAAAAACATCCATTGGCAATAGCATAGTGAAACTCAGACAAATCAACTCAGAAGTCACTTTTAAATAAAGCAGCATTTTGTGAATTCCCATGGTGACTTGAACCTAATGCGAAGTCTGTGAGATCTGAAATTCCCAAAGACCTAGATTCCTATTGAAATGACTGGATTTCACCCGCGAAAATTCACCAAATAACCGTACATGTGACCACACCTTAATAAACAGCCACACTTTTCCAAGTTCCCAATGATGTTCTTCATAGGTGCTTCCAAATATGTAACAGTGGATCGATCCTTGCCTTCCTCAGATTCCCAGCCTCAGTCACAGCGTTGTCTCACAGACGAGTTTTCGGGCCGAGTACAAATCCACCGCTGGCCCCACCGTCTTCCAGAAGCCTGTTAAGTTCCAGGTCGACATCACGTACACCGAGAGCACCGCGGCCACCAAGGAGAATGGCATTTATTCAGTCACCTTCACTCTGCTCTCAGGTAACCACAGCAACCGCAATCAGCGCTCATCAAGACCATAGAACGCCAGCGTTGCTTGAAATAAAAGAACATAGCCGCGAGTAAAAGGTGAATTATTTTATTTTTCTCCATGATGTGGAAGCATATTTGGATACTTTAATTAAATCTGTCAGAATAACCTACAACAGTATTTTTAAAAGGAAAAAAAGAATCCAATGTAGCGCACTAGTTGGGTCAAGCTGGCAATATGGCTAAAAGATATATCTTGATATTTTCTGCCTTTTGACGATCAGTATGTATTTCGATATTCATGTATTTTCTCTTAAATAGATTAAGAGTATTTTTTCATTTTTATGTCATATTATATATGTCGTATTATGTCATATATTTTGACATATATATATATATATATATATATATATATATATATTT